TGCAGTGTACTATCAAGCTGAGTTTCGACGACTCTGTGTATCGTGTGTCATATGACTGACAAAGCTCAGTATAGCATACAGTCGCATGTGAATCACCATGTGCTAGCTACTATCTCATATCATCACACTAACATGATGTTAGTAACATCTATAGATGTTAGATCATCATTAGATCTAATGATTAGATTGTGCTCCAGAGCGGGCCGTTCTGAGCGGCTCTGTGTTGTGTCCTTGCTATCATACGATCCGCTAACAGAATCGTGTTCTCAAGTTACTCCGAAAGTGTTAGCTTGAGAATGAATGAGGAGCGTGGCATAGTACGGTGATTGTTGCGTAAGAAACTGGCACGGTTGAGAGCGGTCAGAATGGGCGCTTGCCTGAATATCTATGGAACGGTTTAACCGTTAGGTTACGAGTATCACCTATTCCTCTTAATATGGTATCCGCTATGTGACTGGGTATCGAGTGCTCCAATTTCAGAGGGAATTGTCCTTGTTGGAAGAGAAATCGAAAATCTCGTGACTTGCTTGAAAAAGTGGCACGATCCGTATAAGATTGATCTTTTCATCTCAACCGGAGACTTCCAAGGACGCATAGGTCTACGTACTCGATTCAGTGCAACAAGGACATAATTTAACTGGTGTATCTTAACATATCGCTTACACCCCCGAGCGTCAGCGAGCTAGAGAACCCCGGAGCGAAGCGACGGGTTCTGCTAGTATCTTTGGTTTTTGTACCACTCTCTCCTGAGACTATCTAACATTAAATCACTACTCCCTCTCTGGCTGTGGAGTTTTCGAGTGTTGAGCTTGCTTGAGGAAAGTGAGGTGTAACTAGCATGCGGTGGTGTCGAACTCAGACTGCTTGTAGATTGGATGTAAGGGAGTTCCACATCTGAACGTGCTCATACTTGAGCGTAAGTGCATTGGCGCACGTGATAGAAATCTATTGAAGTTAAACCCATTTGTGAGCGCAGAATAAGCACATGGAATCCACATCTGACTCAGATGATCTGAGCGCCCTAGCTCGTAGCCGGTAGATCAACTTTAACACGCGTAATCTACTAGTATACTTGTATTCGACCATATGTTTTTAGTATAGTTCGACTTTTCATAATGCCACATAATTCCAGACCCTGGCTCATGAGTGATCATTATCATCGTTTGTTGTTGTTACTATTTCGGGTGAGGGCGGTGGGCATCCCAGATGACCTGCGAATGATTAGCTATGGCTTCTTCGTACTGTTACCACTGGCTTTGCATGCCTCCAGCGATTGGCTTCCCGTCGCTGGACGCATTATGGGGAGCTCCTTGAATGGTGGTACGAGTTTGAGGGATTATGCTTCCACCAAAAGCCGTAGAGGTTATTTCTACTTTTATAATCCTGACGCATCGATAAATTTCCTACAGTATTCCCCTGTTCATACTATCCTCACCAATGGGCAGTGCTTGCTCTTCGCCAATTTCCGTGATTGGAGACATGTCTGGTACACATTTCTCGACGCAGCCGACGAAGAGAGTGAGGATTCTACAATATAATGTACCACGGTCACCGTGACACAGTGCCTCGAACGTACCAGGAAGTAACTTCGATTGGTGATAATGCATTAGCCGTATGTTATAATTTCGCGATGAGTGTGCGTAGTGAGGATAGTGCTATAGAGGATGAGTGTTACTTCTTGACTCACGTATATGCCTGCACTTGGATGGTCATAATGCCGGCTTGGAGAATCTGTGGACTGCATCCGAAGATATAAGCTACTTCGCCTGTAATCAACTGACTCCTTCCTCCCCAGGGGGAAAGCTGCCGCAGCTCATCAACTGCTGTGATGAAGATACTGGTACTATCATGATTAGGATGCGCCGGTGAACCGGAGTGATTTGCTCCGGTTCCCCGGTGCTCCGGAGCGATTCTATCGGATGATTCTATCGGATAGAAGGGGAAGTCTATGTTGATGAGCGGTGTGATATCTGTGCGATTACGTTACTACTAGAATCGTTCGCTTGCTGTTTTGTAACCAATCAATCTCAAGAGTACTATGGTATAGTCATGGATATCCTTGGGGAAAGTTCATTGTATCGCAGCCCTGTCTTCAGCTTCGGCCCGATGCGGGACGCTTCTATCTTCGATTTGTGGCATAGTGAGATGAGGCCTAGCTCTATAACTATTCTGCTGTCGATCATCGCGTCGCCAGATCAAGTCAAAGATTCCTCGCAACGGCGGTTTTGGGTATTTCGATCTTGTGACGGGTTCTCTGTGAAGGGTGCTGCTTGTCTGGTTTTCCTTCATAAAGTCAGCTTCAGTTGTGTTGCCAGTTGTATTCTTATATCGAGCGCGAACCCCAGATCATGCGATTCACAGACCAGATTGCAGGGTGACTTTCCTGCACTCGAGAAATGACAAGGTAAGCTCGAGCAAATGATTTGATACAAACCGCATACAGGACATCGAATCTACAACAACGACCTACAACTAGCTACGACAATTGGTGTGAACATCAAGCATATCACAAGGAACACGCATGC